AGTAATTTTATATGTCTTTACGATTCGAATTCTAATGAAACATACAACTTTAATAGGAATTATCTTTCTGAACTTACCTGGAATATATTGTTTAAATGCGACAACTCTATCGTACAATATTGTTGATTTGTATTATTGATCATATTTCTCCGTGTAAAGCTGCAGCGCGATACAATCTGTGTTAACAGGCATAGACAATGTTGATTCCTAATTACCTTTAATTGATTCTAATGATACCAGTAAATGTATAAATCGGATCAATGGTCTGATTAAAATGTGGATAAAATAGCTCAATTTCGTCATTGCCGTGATGGAACTCAGGGCGCTACATTGACTATATGGTGATATATTCGTTTATTTAAAAATGTGTATAAAATAACTTGTTAATTTTGTGGAAAAATGTTAGATTTGTTTTATTTAATGTAAGTATTATCTATGAGATAATTTGGTTTGAATACAGAAGATTTTTTTTTACTTCTTTAATAGCAATCTTCTTTGATAAACAAAAAATTAAATAAAAAATGAAAAATCTTCTATGCAAACACAATTGTTTTTACTGTGTGATGACGCTGCTTCCGTGACGTCACTCGTGATGGCAACAATATTTCATAATCAGAATAGTGTGGGTTTTCCATAACGTTTTACCTGTTCTTCGGCATGCGGGCCGCTCATCTCACCGGATGATTCACTCTGGTGTTTTTTTGGTCCAATTCATATTTATTCCATCAAATAATGATGGGGCTTCTCCAAGGACTTCCCACTCGCTGGAACGCCTAAACAATTCTGGGACTTACGCCGGTCGTTTAAGTTGTTTATGGGCCTGGTCGGAACCAAAGTCTGGACCAGGGCTCGTTTACATTGTTGATGGGATGCCAGCGAGTTGGCGTTTCCCTGGCCGCCTTGTTAACATGATGGGCAGCAGAAAGTGAAACTGAAATCGAAAACTATTTGCGAAAATAGAGCAATAAGTTGGTAAGGCATTGGGTCCTGGTCCAGCCAAGTCCAGTGCAGAGTCCTCATCTGGCCGAGATGCGTTGACCACGATAGCCGGACAGAGTTATTAAGGACTGGTAAGCGTGAGTCTGCCAACTCGGGGACAACGTGGCGCATTATTTTATTTTGGATTTAATGATGGCCCGAACAGAACCCTTGTCGCCGTCTGATTGGAACGACGACGTCCAACAAATTTGAGCCTGTCTCGTGGTCTATTGTCGTGTTTCTTGGTGGATTTCTTGGGGGTGTTGCTGTTGCCATTGCCTTTGCTTGTCGTTGTCTTTGTCGCTGATGTTGCTGCTGTCAGTTGCGTGTTGTCTTGCTGTTGCTGTTGCTTTTGCTGCTGCTGCTGCTGCTGGCTGGTTGATGACGTCGTAGACGGAGGCGTTGCCGCCCAATCACCAAAAGTGATCGCGATTGTGCCGCAAGTCAAAGACCCAAAAAGAAAACGACCAGCGATACATATGCTCCAACAACTAACAAGGTTGCAAACTAAGTTGAAGGTCAGAACGTATGTATCATATGGGTCTACGATACACACTTACTTACATGTATGTTGTATGTATATCTGTGCGAGTGTGACTGATCGGCGGGGCTCTGCATATCGATATCGGTCGAAGTTGCAGTCGTCGCAGTCTCTTTACATGTAATAAGTAACAAATGCCGCACGACATTCGACAGTTTTATGCCGCGACATTTGGGTGGGCGGGGGTGCTGGAACCGCCTTATCTTGGTAATTGAAGCAGTGGCTTTGTCCATAAATTCCTGGCCAACTACGTGGGCTGTCCGGCCGATGCGGCCGCTTTGGACCTGGTTTACGCAGAACTATGCGGAGCGTAATTAAAAAGCGACAAAAGGAATTCTAATGTGTGTATGACACTGGGTTCCTAAAATGGGAAGAGGCTTTTGCTACAAAATCAGACCCCTTCAATTTTATTTGAACTATTTTTTATTTACCAGCTGGTGTAATTACTTAAAAAACAGTAATATTTATTACAAATTAAATAGTATACACTTTATTTCAAAAAGGTTTTGGGCTTAGCTGCTATTAATATTATTTCATTCATAAATTAACTTTTAGATAAAAATGGTATATTTATGCGTAAGGCTTCTAAATTATTATATACTTATTTTTATGTAAGTATGCACATAGTTTTAATAAATAAAATAAATTTCATTTAGTTTTTATTGGTTCAGCTTAAGCTTGGATTCCCTTTGAAGCCGCTGTGCCATATGGACCTAATGAAGGCTAAGTAAAGCAACCCGCTGGCAGGAAAAGGCCAACAAATCAAGTCCGGAACATTGACAACGACAGCCACTAATGACCAAGTCAAAGTCAGAGCTAGAGCCAGAGCCAAAGTCAAAGTCAAAGCCAGACTCAAAGTCAGAGGCTGTCTAACATCAAACAAATGCAGTTGTTCTTCGTGCCGGACCAGCTGCATGGAAATGGAAATGGAAAATGGGAAATGACAGGGGAAACGAAGATGGCTACTGCTGATGTGAAATTTACTTGCACTTAGGTGAAAACATTGATTGCCCTGGCATTGGCTTAATTAACCAACTGAAGCCGCCCGGCCGACATTGACAATGAAATGGAAAACTATCAGTGCTATCAGTCCTCCTCCCCAATGCTAATCCTCCTACGGTGGCTCCCCCAGAACACTTTCAGCGATGGAACTCGTTACCCAGGCGCTGGCGAATCCGGCCATCCCAGCCCATCCTATCCGCCTATCGTCACGCATGGATCGCAAATTTATTTGTCAATCAGGCAAAAGTATGAAGCCAGCCGGAGCATAAAATACACATAATTGCATTTGGCCTCCGCCTGCGCCCATCCGCTCAGCTCCCAGGGATTACTGCCTCCGATAAGCCTCGTTCTTTAATCCCAGTCAAACTGCGACTCCAACTCAACTTCAACCTTGCCTGTGAGTTTGAAATGCTCTCGTAATAAATTGAATTCACCTTTTGTGTCCGTTTGTGTTTGCTTTAAAATAACAACGGCAGAAACACAGCCCTTTCCTTGATCCCTACACAATGAAAAATTATTAATCTAAGAAATAATTATTATTTAATGTCTGGAGATACAGGAGAGATTTAAATGCATATATTAAGCTTATACATTTTTCACAAAGAACATTTTACACATACAAGTGAACTGGAAAAATATTTAGGTTCATAAATTGTATAATGCTTTTTAGATCAAATTTTTACCTAATTTTGTATAAGGAATTTAAGATTGTTCGTTTTTTTAAGATCAACTGTTTTTTTCTTCACTCTAATTTATATAAATTTATTCCAAAACTCCCTGCTTTTTTCCTGTATATTCCTAGCCGCAATTCAGACCAATCCCATTTCCATTTCCATTTCCATGACCATCTACATCTACTAGCACTTCTAAGACCCACACACGCATGTAGCGCTGGCCAACAATTGGCATAAATATCACTTTGCTCCCTTGAGCGTGTGGCAGAAGGTAGGAGGTGGGAGATCGGAGGATTGAGGAAGGGGCTTCAAGTTGGCTAGATGGAGACCCACGTCCAAGTTTAGAACCCTTTGCCCAGCCCAAAGTAGCTGCAGATGGAATGGAGCCGAGGAAACGGCAGCAGCGGCAGCTTGATAAATTTTATACAAGTTATTCTAACATTTTTACTATTCGCCGGCCGACACCCGAGCAGGGCCCTTGGCCACTCCGTGATTGAGTTAACTTCATTTGCTTGACTTGGCCAAGACAAGACACGTGCTGCCTGCTTGGCCTTCCCCTCCCTTCCTTCCCACCCTCCCGCCTGTGGAATTTATTGTATGGCTCCTTAGCCAAACATGTCAGTTATGTTTGCGAAAGTACATATCATCAGAGGCACTGGACATGCGTGTAGGTTTCCAGCTAAGATCCAGCCTCCAAGGCGACGTGGATCAGTGATGTTGAAGTGCGCTTTTTTCTCAGCAGTAAAATAGAAAGAAATTGGTTTTAATTTGTTAACAAATTCTGAAATTAAATAAATTTGTATAAGTTTTATTAATCTCTTTTCTGCAAAATGCTTTATATTTTAAAAGCAAAAGCAAATTTCTTTTAGGAATTTATTTGGTGTAAAAGTGTTATATAATCTATTTTAAAATATTTAATATTCCGGGTTATTACTTAGTTTTAGTTTACATTGAAAATTATTTTTAAAAATTAAGAAAAGTTATAAAATGGTATCGAAAAACCAACAAAAGGTATTTTAAGTATAGCTTAAAGATTAAATTAGATCTAAATTATACGATATTTATTAAAATTTTTGGCATCACTGTCCAGAACGTAGTAAAAGAAAATCCCTTGGAACTGAAAAAAAATAATTGAAGAGGAAAAAAGGAATTGAAGGTGGACCAGGATGAAATGGAAGAGCGGTGGAATTCCGGGGCAAAGACACAACAAAAGCGGCGCGCTAACAAATTTATGGCAAATTTTTATAGTAAAATCTCGAAAGTGTCGAAATTGTACAAGAACGAGAAGCAAAATCGCCGCCTTCCCATTTTCCCCCACTATTTTTCCTTTCCCTCCCTTGCGATCGTGGCTTTTCTTTCTGTGGGGTCACAACTTGGGCCTGCCCATGTACCGTGCCATGCCAATCGTGCCGCCCCGGGTTTTGTGGCATCGACATGGGCCTTTGGTCGGCAGTTGGACCTCCTTGTACTCGATAATGTGGTAATTTAGGGCCCCACTGCACGCTTCCCATTTTAGTGGGGCCCAACCAAGTCCAAGTGGCGAAGGCAATTGGATATCGCTGTTTGGCTGCGCTTTTTATTTAAGTTTTCTTTCTACGGGGGAACCCAGGAAGCTAAGGGGGTTTTTATTTGTATTTTATTTGATTAGGTATTCGTGAATATAACAATAGAGTCCATGTTATTTTTAGCCACTTTGATGGATTGTATAATTTTGAGTCATAACTCATAACTGTAATTAAAAGCATATCACCATTGGCACATTCATTTGGTTTAAGCAAAAGAATTATTTACTTAGCACGAGATCA